CAAGCAAATGAAGCCTGTAATCAAACGATCAGCTTCCTGGACGTGCTGAGTTTGAAGCAAGAGATGTTAGTACTAATATGGATACAGAAACCACAAAAGACACTATTCTTTGGCTATTTCTGTCCTTGTAAGATTGCTCATTTTTCATGTTGTGTACATTTGCATCCAGCGAGCCTAATGTCTCGTTTCTCAGTATAAAAGACTTTGCTTTTATGGTATCCAATCTGCTGTCAGTTAATAGAAACTAAAATGTAGTATGGGGAATCACAATAACAGTTACAATTCAAAGCAAATAGGTCAAATTATATAAACTATCATCTTAAGGGGTAAATTTTAAAAATAGCCAGATTTACAACTGGTCGTTCAAAAAACTGATGAGTCACGGCTGTGATAGTTCTCAAAAGTTAATCGAAAATTTAGCACCTTTTTTATATAAAAGATATAAAGATAAATCTGAGCAAAAACACTGTTCAAAACCCGGAAAATACTCCAGTATATTATGCTGGAGTTCCAGCATAAGTATACTTGAACTCCAGCATATTATACTGGAGTTCCAGAATAAGTATGCTGGAACTCCAGCATAATATGATGGAGTTCCAGCATAATATGATGGAGTTCCAGCATAAGTACACTAGCAAGTATATTGGTCCAGTATGATATACTGGAGTTTGGAGCACCGGTGCTCCAGTCTCCAGTATATTATACTGGAGCCAGCAAAGTATACCGGTCCAGCATAATATGCTGGAGTTCATACACAAGTGCACCGAACTCCAGTATATTATGCTGGACCGGTCTCTATTGCAGCAAAATAGTGGCTATTTTTCATTGACTTGGTAAACGTTGGCTATTTTTGATTGACCGATCCGAAAACTGGCTATACCGTGAAATTTTGCCCATCTTAAGTAGAGCTGTCAATATGAGCGGGGCCGGGCTAGCCCATCGCAGCCCACGTGGGCTTTAGCAATTAACGGGCTGGGCTGGGCTAGCCCATCATTTTGATGGGCCTTATAATGGTCAACCCACCCCAGCCCTATGTGGGTTGTGGGCCCCCACGGGCCGGCCCATCATTTTTTAAAATATAATTTTATATTTTTTTCTTTAAGTTCTAACTTAAGAAAAGATAAATATTTAGAAGTTAAAAATTCTTATTGAAAAATTTCACAAAACTTAATACTTATACTATTCCAATATATCACAATAAACATTAAAAAAGTAAAAGACAAGACTATATTTCATTCACTAAAAGTCAAAACTCAAAACAAACTTTTCAAGAGAACGTCCATGGCGCTTATGGGATATTCAACACATCATCTTCATCAAACACATTTGAATCCGCTTGTGAGAAAGTTGTCTTAGTATCTTCACTTTCATCTACATCTAAAATTTGTATGCAATATTAGTTAGTTAAATATTAAAAATAAATAAAATTTTAAAACTAATTAACGTTTTAAGACTTTGATCTTTTAATATGATGAGCTTAATAAACTTTAAGCTTGGAATACTCTTCTTGATATTTTTTGTGTCATATAATTTTTATATTTTATATATTTTAAATACATATTTTTATTAGGCCCACGGGCCGGCCCAGCCCAGCCCGAGTCAAGCCTCACGGACCACGGGCTTACTCGGGCCGGGCTTAAAAGCCTCATTTTTAAATGGGCTCCAAAAATTCTAGTCTATCCCTACTAAATCACGGGCTGGATCTTAAGAATGTTTCACTTTTGTTTTCTTTAGCGTCCAATACACTGCAACAACTTTTTTTCTTTTTTGGAAAATTCCCCGGGAAACTTGTAGCCCGCTATTCTTCGAGCGAGCACTGGGTAACTTGCTCATTGTGCAATAGTTCGCCAATCATAAAGGAGATGTAAATTGCACTAAGCAAGTCCGGTGCGACGAGCTCTCACTGAGGAGGCTATTGGTGAGGGGAATTAGTCCTAGATCTTCCATGTGAGAAACTATTCATCTTATTCGATGACAGATTCTGGATTATCCTAGACGTCAATGTATAAGAGAGCTATATTATTAAAAAAAAATTTGTATTAGTCCGTTTAAAAAAGAATGACACAAAAATATTCAACTTTAAAATCTTCATTTTACTCATTTTACCCTTAATGAGAAGCTTTTATAATCACAAAAATATCATGGCACCACAAAACTTTTACCTCTTAAGCTTTTAAGACTACAAATTCCAAAAGTCTCCATCTTTTCTCTTATACTCCGTGCCGAGTCAAACTACCTCTTCTAAATTGAAACGGATGGAATAGTAATTAAAAGTAGGGAAAAAATTTGTACACCGCAAATTATTTCAAAAAATGTTACTCGTGAATCACTAAAAAAATGTTACCCATGAATTTTATCAATCTTTTTATTTTTATTTTTCTCTTTTGATAATAAACTGCAACTGTTGCCTTCCATATTTATTTGCAGTAAAGGGAGGAAAAAATGCCTTAAGATAAAGACCTCAAAATTTGGATCCAACATAATCCAAACATGACACTGGAAGAAAATGAATTTGTCATTGAAATAAAGATGTTTATTTCGAACATATAGGATCTTAGTTTATTATTAGTATTATATATTTATTCTATAACCGTAGTATCCGGATCAACTTGCATACATCTCGATTAATTTCCACCGAATAATCGCTAGGCCACACCCTCCGGTGCCTATGAAATCTTAGTTTATTTATATTAGGGAAATTATATAATGTGGCTACTCTTTTGCTATTGGAGGTGATCAAGAAAGTGACATACCATGAAATCTTTGAAAAATAAAGGGAAATAAGAAGGAAAGTGACATATCAATGGTTACTTATCTTAAGTTCTATCTATGAAATGATTAAAGGGAAGAGTGTATGGTAAAGTAAATCAAACTTTGATGCTTTCTTTATTCCTTTTTCTTTCTTTTCAAATGTCACGCCAACACTTTACTATAACATGCATTAATAATAATTGGAAATTTCTATAAAATTATGGTCGGCAAAAGTTGGTATAAGTAAATATTTTGACCTTTTTCTTTCTGCATTTTTCTCTTAACATTTTTTGTTTCAAATCTTACTTCAGTAATTATCTATCAGTAACATTTGAAAATGTACTCCCTCTATCTCAATTGGGCACAAAGGGGAACCTATGCTATACCGAGAGGGGTCACCGGCACTCGTAAAATTCAGCAAAAATTGAATTTCTTTTGTTACCATAGCAAAAAAAAGTCGAGTTTTTTCATCTCGATTTTTCTCGAGGTTTTCGATGTTCTCGAATTTTTTGGATTTTTTCTCGGTACAATCTTCATAGCACAAAACATATAACCTATGCTCCAAATACTTCTTTGATTCTAGTAGGATACAACTATATAAGGTGTTACCCAAAAAAACATAAAATAATGTGAGATGAGACATGACATTGTACCAAATATTCAACAATAAAGATAACGAAATAGCATATAATAAATATAGTTAATTAATAAGTCATAATGAAACTGAACATAGTTTAAAATACTAAGTCATGCTAAAATAAGTAAGACAAATAAGTACTAAGTATTACACTAAACAATAAAAACTATGCATTTTTACTGTAGACTAATACAAAACTAAAAAAAAAATAGATATCCTATATTATTGTCATTTGTAGTACTGAATTGAATTTCTTTTGTTACCATAGTATTGATTTGGTTCTACTTTGGACCTTTTGAATTGCTAATATTTATGAGCTATAAAACATATTGGACTATTCAATGATTCTAACTTCAAGCTTGAAATAATACATTAAAAGAGAACTGTGAATTTTTTTAAGAAATATTCATAAATTATATTAAAATAAATACTTTTGTGAATATTTTTAAGACCTATATAAATGTAAGATGTTTCGTGCAGAGCCTATTTTTATTTTTCAATGTGTTGAAGTAAATACCACTTCCCCGAAAAAAAAAAAGAAAAAAAAAGTAAATGCCACCTAGATAATTTTCGGTTCAATGGGACTGATTATTTCCTATTATGATGTACTAGTACTATGACAAAGTCAACAATTTGATGGGAGCCACTGAAATCTAGGTGGCATTTTGGATTTCATATGTTTTTTTTTATAAACTAGGGTAGTTTTTAAAAGATTATTGTGGAAAAAAGTGTTTTTGGATTAAGTTTAAAAGAAAAAGAAAAATTGGAATAGATTTCATATTACTAAATTATAATTCTTGGTGATTTTGGAAAGGTTTGAGTTAGTATTTGCGAAAATAATCTACTTTGGGTCATTTTCTTTGTTTTCGACAAATATTTAGGTTTGATTCTTGAAAATTAATGTTAATTCATTCTTAGTTCAAATAATCTTGACTTTACGACTTGTTTGGATGGTTGTTATTCATCGTTTTATAATGTATTATTTTGTATTATACTGTATTATTATATTATTTTGTGATACAATGTTAGATTGTATTGTTTGTAATAGTTTAATAACATATTTATTTATTTGGTTTGATTGTATTGTATCATATAATAATCAATAAGTTTACTTAAATGCCCAAATGTTTAGTTTTGTATTGTGTTATACTATGTTAGTTTATGAATATAATATTGGATAAATCGTACTGTTTTTAGTAGTTTAATAACATATTTATTGTTTGGTTTGAATGTATTATATCATACAATAATCAAGTAGTTTATTGAAATGCCCTTAACTAATATAAATATTAGATTTAACAATAAATTCATAAGAATAATCCAAGGCCGGGTAATAAATGAGGGATATTTTTAAAATATCCAAACTTAGTTTGCAAAACTTTTTAAAAAGTAAAAAAGTATGCGTTCAATTAATGTTATAATTTGAAAGACAAGTCAAGTAGGGCTTTTGAAGAAAAGACTTGGAGGAACATGTGTAGGCATTTTCCTTATGTTAACATTGTTGGTTCACCAAAATGAATCAATTCCACTTTTCATATTTCCAATTCCAAACCAACATATTTGCTTCCTAAATGACATATATCAAAATGTGGGGAGAAATTCAAAAATAGTTAAATTTACAAGTGGTAATTGAAAAATAGTCATAATTTTAAAACTAATCAATCACTTTTTATGTAAAGATAAATCTGAACGAATACATTGTTCTAAATTCGATCTCCAGCATAATATATTGGAATTCCAGTATAATATACTGGTTATACTGGAGTTCCAGTATACTTATGCTGAAACTCCTGTATAATATACTAGAGTTCCAGTATAATATATCGGTCCGCATAATATGCTGGAAGCTCATACACAGGTGCTCCAATCTCTAGTATATTATGCTGGAACTTTCCGCGTGTTGGAGTTCCAGCATAATATGCTGGAAGTTCATACACAGGTGCACCAATCTCCAGTATATTATGCTGGAGCTTTCCGTGTTGCAGCAAAATATTGACTATTTTTCAATAACTTCGCAAACGCTGACTATTTTTTAATTACCCGTCCGAATTCCTTAAATCCAAATTAAGAACAATTGTAAAGCAAAGAGTCAAAAAAGAAAATTACAATGAACACAATCTTCTCCCTAATTACACTAAGAAAACACAATCAAGAAGTCATTAAATGGGAACTTTTTTTTCTTCAATTTACTTTGACCTTTTTTGCAGTGGTTACATCAACCACAATAACAACAAATACAGTAAAACACAGTGTAGTTCCACGAGTAGAATTTGAAGAGAGTCATGTATACGTCGATCTTACCCCTACCTTGTGAACATAAAAAGACAATTTCCTCCTACCTTATAAAGATACAGAAATTGTTTCTTGATACACCCTGGGAGTGGTTGCATAGAGATTTGTAAACTATGATTGAGAATCTTTGTGATTTTCATCACCACTGTCACTACCTTGAGTCTGATTTTGATGGTGATGATGTTGCTCCAAATTCATACCCAAATCAACCCTATTGTTACCACTGCTATTATATGCATTATTCATTGATGACAACATTCCCATATTTGTCTCTGTAACTCCTAACCCCAGCTGCTGAACCGGCTGTGACTGCTGCAAAACCATTGAACCCAACTGAACCGGACTGAACCGGCCACCACCCGGGAACTCGAACCCACCAATTCTTGAACGCCACAATTGGTGGTCCGGTTGAGCCACCCCGACCGAAGCCGTCGTTGAACTGGTACCTCCACTCACTGGTAACATCCAGAATGCGTTACCAACGTTACCACCAGCTGGTGCAACCGCCCACATGGCCGGAGCCGGGATGAAACTCGAAGTTTGTGATGAACCGGGTTTAGAATCTGATCCCGGTTCATGAGCTTGTCCTACGGTTCTTTCCGGTTTATCACCTGAAGGTGAGGTTGCACCACTGGTGTCTTCTCTGAACCGCTTTTTCATGTAATTATTCTCATCTGGGTCTTGCCCAAAACTGCCGTTGGATAGCTGGTGGTGGAAGCCTAGCATAGTGGTGGCGCCGCCGTGGATGAAGAGAGGCGCAGATTTTGACGGCGGAGCTGAAATTGTGGTACCACTGCTACGGAGAGAGACATTGAGAGTCGAGAAATTAGCCGGAATTGTACCTGTTCCTGTAGCAGCTATAATTGCCGGTTCAGCTTGTTGCAGGAGCCACTCAATAGTTTCACCATCAGATTTGTGACCCAATTCTCTGGTGAGCTGGAAAACCCGGGCGGCGCATAAGGCCGGCATGCGTATGCGCCGCCCTCGGCCGTCCACCTTGGTGTGGCGGTCTTTAGAAGGTTTCTTGACTACTTTTGTGGATAACGCGTTGTTGGGGGTGGGGGTTGTGGTAGGGGTGGTGGTGGGGGTAGGTGGAGGAGGAAGAATTATTGGTGGAAGGAGTAGAAATTAGAGTTCTTGATTGCATGGAAATGGAGCCCATGAATGGACCATGGGGGTGGGGGTGGGGTTGGTTGGACCCAGGGGTAGGAGGGTCAGGTTGACTTTGATGAAGTGAAACTAATTGTAAAGAAGAGGGAGTTTCTTTGTTGTGTTGATGTTGTGCATGTTGATGGTGGTGGTGGTGGTGGTCTGTGCCACTAGTACTACTACCACCACTTTGCTTTTTCCTATGTGGTTCCATAAATTCCATCTTGGGAAGAAGGGGGGGGGGGTTAAGTAAGGTGAAAGGGTAAGGGGGGTTCTATCAAAGATATCTTGTTGATATCTAATTGACAAAATGAATTGACAACATTTGTCTAATTGACAAAATGAATTGAAAACATTAAGCCAAGCAAGAAAGAAGGAAAGAAAGGAAGAAAGAGACTTGAAAATTAAGTTGTTGCTGCTGCTGCTGCAAATGCAAAGTCTTTTGAGCCAAAAAGAATTCAGTAACAAGTGGGAATTAGTGGTGGGGTTTGTTTCTCTTTTTTACTTTGTGGTTGACTGCTGTTTTTGGAGAAAGAAAGAGAAGGGAAGGGTAGGTGTGGGTTCCATATAACAACAGAATNTAGAATGAGAAGGAGCTTGGTAGGCTTGCCTCGAGACTACGAGAGGCGGAGGCCTATTCTGGCCAGAAGGAGAAAGAGTCAGGCGAGCTTCGAGCTACTTTGGAGGGAGTGCTCCGGGAGAAAACTGATCTCACTGAGCAGGTATTTTACCTTGCACGAGCCCGACCTTCACTCCTGTAGTTCGACACCAGCTGGCTTAACTTTCCTTTGTAGGTCGAGCAAAGGGACTCGCAGATTGGGCGGCTGGATGTGGAGATCCTCGGACTGAGTAAGCAGAATGGAGACCCCCACCATTGATTTAGATCCGGTGGTGAGGGATTTTTCGGATGTGTTTCTTGCTTCCGGGCATGTCGCCGGACTGGGTTGTTAATGTCGGTATTGATTTGGTGCCAGGCACCGTATTGTATGGCACCGGCGGAGTTAAAGGAGTTGAAGGAGCAGCTTCAGGAATTCCTTGATAAGGAGTTCATTAGTAGGACAATATGGAGGTGTGTTCTACATCGAATCGGCTTGGTTGACTCCGAGTTGTATTGTTGAGGGATGTGTTGATTCGATTGTTATTGAGCTTATTAGTGATCTGGGGAGATCTATGAGTTATCTTTCCGTGATGCGAGGCGTTAGGATTTGATTGGCACATGTGGTGCGGTCTTATTGGGGCTTCTCAGTGGAATTCGAGCGGGAAGAGTATTGGGTATTGCTNGGGTGGGTGGGGTCTGAATCCAACTCAAACTCAGTGGTGGTAGCAGGTGGGGGACCTCTCAATATTACGAGAAAGAGAAAGAAAGGTAGCCCGGTGCACTAAGCTCCCGCTATACGCGGGGTTTAGAAAAGGATCGGACCCCAAGAATCTATTGTATGCAGCCTTATCCTATATTCTGTAAGAGGCTGTTTCTACGACTTGAACACGTGATCTCCTGGTCACATGACAATAACTTTATCAGCTACGCCAAAGCTCCCCTTCCAATATTACAAGAAAGAAAAAGAAAAATGTTTGCATATATAAGCTGAGAAGAGAAAAAAGCCCCTCGTGTAACCTATATTTGTAAGGAATGTTATTGTTATTTAAGCTGCCTTTCATGAATTTGATATATGCCCACAGCCACCTTACACTTCTTGACTCTTTATGTTTCTTTAATGGTGGTGGTGGTGGTGGTCAGCGGCGGATTTATTAAGTTTTGAACACCCTTAACACAATCCAAAAGTGTATTTTAGTGGTCAAGGGGGTTCAAAAAAAAAATTTGAACCCCTTCGTGGAGATCCTGCCTCCGCCACTGGTGGTGGTGGTGGGGGGTGTTATAGGGGGTTATAGAGTATAATGAAGTGATTATGGTGGTGTAGGTAAAAGAATTAGTATGTGATTAGTGTGAAAAGATTGAAAAGTTAGGAGAAAATGGAGAGAAGACAATCTTTTAAAAATCAAAAGTTTTGGCTATAAGTCATTTTCTAGTCTTCTCTTTTTGGCTTTTTACCAATACTCTTTTTTTCATTTGTTTTTGCTTCTTTCTTACTGCTCATTGTTTGAGTTTTTGTCATATTGTTAGATTGTTGATAATGATGATTATGAATTTATGATGACACTTAATCTAGTCCAACCACAACCCAACCTGTGTCTACATATATAGATATAACAATCTCATATGTATGCATTAATACCTACGTTTAAAAGACAGTAAAACTACTAAACTAAGACTGCATTTGTGCAAATGTGATTGTGACCACAACATTATAAAAAAACAAATGAAAGAAAACCTTTGATACTGTTATGCCACTATTACTATAGTTGTCACACACTCACCAAGCAGAGCTTTTACCATCTATTTTGCACCCCATTGAATCGCGAAGTGCTATGGTTCTTATATATAATTTCTGAATTTATTCCGAAGTAATTTGCGAGTTCATGCACCTCTCTTTTCTAATTATAACGGAAAAGGGTACAGTTGGGTGGTCCAGCCTATTCTTGAAATAAACAACTCGCACACACTCCCTTTCCAAAAAAAAAAAATCAATACACCAAGCACTACGCTTAGATTTATTGGATTTGTTGCTAAAATATCGGTATTAAACCTGAAACTCCCGGCAGATGGCCAGTGGCCCAAAGAAACGAAAGAATCGGTTACGTTTTTCATATGATCTCCTCTTATAGATAGATTAAAAAATCGAACAGAGTTCTTTTTGTAGCACTTCGCCCCTCTTTTATTTATTCTTTTATTTTTTCTGATATGAGTCAAAAAATAAAAAATATTCGAGTTAGTTACAAATTATGAACTAATGAACTAGCTCTTTTATTGGTTATTGGAATACTAACACTTACTAAAAAGAGTTTCCCTTGGTCTATGAACGGGAAGGATGAATTTTTTACTTTTGATAAAAGAAGCACATAATAATAATAATAATAATAATAATAATAATAATAATAATAATAATAATAATAATAATAATATATTTGTTTGAAGGGGAGCATTGACGTAACTGGTAAAGTTGTTGCCATGTGACCAGAAGGTTACGGATTCCAGCAGTGGAAACAGCCTCTTGCAGAAATTCAAGATAAATCTGCGTACAATAAACCCATATGATCAGACTATTTCCCGAATCTCGCGCATAACGGAAGCTTAGTGCACCGGACTGCTTTTTTACTATGGTTGTTTGATGATCCAACATGGTTTAACAGTTGTAACACTTGGAACACAAAAATCTGAGACCTTAGAACAGGTGTCAAATATCTTCCCCCAAAAGCCTCCACTTCTTTCTTCCAGCCAACCTGACATGCACAGTAAGGAAAATCAGAAAAGTGGACCAATATGAAAACTGTGGAGCAGAGGTAAAATGGAGGTCACAGAAAGAGAGACAGAGAAAAGAAGATGTGATGAACTAAAGAGGACAAATAATAATACAGTCAATTCTCTTTATAACACTGAAAGAAGTCTTGGCGTAATTAGTAAAATTGTTGTCATGTAACCAGGAGGTCACAGGTTCGAGCCGTGAAAACAGCCTCTTGCAGAAATGTAGGGTAAGACTGCGTACGATAGACCTTTGTGGTTCAGCCATTTTCCGGACCCCGCGCATAACGGAATCTTAGTGCACCGCTGCCTTTTTTTTCCTTTATATAACAGTCTCGTTTGCTTCGATACCTTTTGTTGCTGTTATAAAAAATATATATTATAATATAACATGAAATATAACATATATTTCCTCTATGTAATAGTCAATTCTCTTTATAATAGTGAAGGAAATCTTGGCGTAACTAGTAAAGTTGTTGCCATGTAACCAGGAGTTCACAGGTTCGAACCATGAAAACAGCCTCTTGCAGAAATGTAGGGTAAGACTGCGTACGATAGACCTTTGTGGTTCAGCCATTTTCCGGACCCCGCGCATAACGGAATCTTAGTGCACCGCTGCCTTTTTTTTCCTTTATATAACAGGCTCGTTTGCTTCGATACCTTTTATTGCTGTTATAAAAAACATATATTAGTATAATATAACATGAAAAATTGGTTTTAAAGAAAACTTGATTATAGTAAAATACTATTATAAAAAATTACTATATAGAAAGGTCTGACGGTAATAAGGTAAATAAAGGACTAGTCCATTATATTTCCCTTTTATCCTAAAAAAAAAATATGTTGTAAAATTCGTGTAAAGTTGGAAGGTAGTGTTATGAAATGAAAGAAAAGAGTTGGCTTAGCTTAGGTAGTTTAGCCAAAAGGACAAAGCATTAATGCTAACAAAGGAAACACAGCTCATACCAATACAACCCCACTTCTCCTAGCTAACTTTTAAATAATATTCATGACTAGTTGTATCATCATTTTTCTTGCTTTCTTCTTCTTCATTTTTTATTTTTTTTTATTTTTATATAACTATTTTCTTTGTTTATTTGGTTGCAGAAATTTTAAACCACTAATTAATATACCAACCAGTCGACTCCAACTCATCAAACTTCTTTTCATAGTTTAATTATTTTGAATGTTTATAAATCAAGTGTTTGTCAATTAGAACAACTTATTTATGTCTAACTAAATTTGGAATTTAAAAGTTCTTAATTGAACTTTTATCACTTAAATTTATCATTTGAATTTGTAATTGTTTAGTTAAATTATTTGATTAATTTTGATATAAATACTGAGTGCGGATTAAAAAAGAATTCTTCCCGAAAATGGCCTCCCCCTTCATATTAAAATTTTGGGGTGCAATTCCTATGATAATATCTATAGTGAATTATTCCTCAATCTAGCTATATGCATCGCAGATACAGTTAGTACACTTTTTATAACAATTTTGTTTGTTCCGACATTTTTGATCGTTATATAGTGACTCTCTATAACAACATCCCTATATAACAACACTTCACTATAAAAGCCAAACTTTTCCGGAACCAATTTTAATGTTATGTTGTAATATATGTTCTCTATAACAGCACTTCGCTGTAATATCCAAAAATATTCGGAACAAATAAGGCTGTTATAGAGAGATTTAACTATGTAAGATGTTTATAGAGAACATATATTATAACATACCATAAAATATCAATTCCAAAAAAAAAAAAAAACTTAACCCTTATAATGAAGTATTGTTATAAAGGATTATTGTTATAAAGAAATTTGACTATAATTGCATTTAGGTTGGATTGGGAGATGTGTGCAAGCAATCATACAATTTAATGAGGGTGCATTTGGATTGACTTGATATATTTTTTTGTGAGAATTGAAATCCATAAAAAAATTCTTTTTTATTTTATTTAAATCCATAGTTATAACTTATAACAATTTCTCTCTCTCACTCATTCTCTCTTTTATTTTCTTAATTATTTTCTTTAAGCCGCACCATTATATCCCAATTATCTTCTTCCAAATAGGTAGTCATTTCTTACATGTCTATGACAAGTAGTAGCGGAGGCAGGATTTTTACAAATTGAACAAGCAAACTCACAAAGATTTTGAATCCTCTTGATCACTGAGTTGTGCTTTTAGACTACGGCAAAAGATTTCAAAATATG